ATGGATTTTTCTGACTATAAAACCGAGACAGGCACTAGATTTTAGAGAGTTACAGGGCTGAAGTCAAGCAGTCCTTTAATTTTGAAAGCGAACTGAGGTCTGGGGATCGCTGTGTATCCTGGAGTGCGCACAAAGTTGAAGTTACACAAATCTCCACTTGTGAACTCCTGACTCCTCCAGGCACTGTTCCCCCACCTCGATTCTGTCTCACCTGCCTAGAACAACAAGTTTTGGGCACACAGACATGAGCGGTGCAGCAAAATCCAAACCGGTGCCTCTCACTGACTGCCGTTATGTGGAGTTCAGAACATTTTCATAATTCAGTTCTGTGTGGAAGAAACCAGAGTTGCTTCAGGGCTCTTGGGAACTTATCACTCCACGGGTAGTAACAAACAAGCACCATCCAGGTCCCCCCTCTAACCATGAATGATAAAATAAATAAACAGAAATGCAGAATTGTATTTTCAGGGCTGGGTTACAGCTTAACAGAACACAGTGGGCAATCATTTATTTTCCCCCTCTCTTTGCTTGATCTAACCATACATCTCACTGTAGGTTATTATAAATATAATGAGGATCTATGGGGAAATCTAAGCTCGGAGTTCTAGACAGTTTTATTAGTGTTCATAAATATTTATGTTCCAGATATAATCATATTATTAAAGTCCTGTACACTTTCACACATAAAATTCAGGAGACTATTTATTTTTATCCATATTGCCATGTCTCCACCCTAGGCAGTAAGACAAATTAGAGCTGATAAAAAATAAGAACCTGTCAGGAGGTTGGGCACTTGCTTCAAATAGACTCTGTTTTAGGCAGAACCGTAATGCTCAGGGTCAGCCTGACTCACTGGTGGCTCACAATGCCCTGATATCTTCCACTCTTCATTTTCTGTCTTCAAGTGGCCATTGAAAGATAAAAGTGGATGGTATCACAGTTAAGAGAATGTTTTTTAGGGGGGGTCACTTTAATTAAGGATGGGTGAGGGACAGGAATGAAGGAGGGATAAAGAACACTGAGGATGACTGGAAAAGTCTTATGGACATATTCTATTTTTACTTAAAAATACAAACAAAATGTATGTATAAGTATCTGTGTATACATATATAAATGATTTAAATGAAGTTGTGCTACTTGAGTGATAATGATATCCCCAAGGGCTGCAATCTAACTAATAAAAAACCCAAGTACCTGGCATGGGAAGCCTTTTGGGTTGTTGGTCAGGGGAGTCCCAAGACATTCCCACAACAATATAGACAATTGCTATCGATCTTGGTGGTATCCTAAAACCTGAAGGTAAGACCCATCACATATTTCAGACACAAGACTTGGAGGAATTGACCTGGAACCGACCTGGAAGCCTTTCCTCTGAAGACTATCTTTCATAGAATCCCAAATGTGCTATGCAAACTGATGGTGATAAATGTAACCAATGACCTTACCCAACTGTAAGGCATGTGAACCACAACAATGACCAGCCCAGCAAGATGTCCCCAAAGGAGGAGCGGTGGCACTTATATTTTGTGGTTAACTAATCTTCTAATTGGGCTTAAGGCTCATTCAATAGAAGAGAATCCAAGCCTGGTACTGTAAACCTAGCCAACTACCAGTTAGCTGGTAAGATTGTGGACTCGAGAAGAGAGACTACTAATGTTATGCTCCTAAACTAGCATAATTTCTAACTACATTCTAAATACTTATCTTCATAATCACAGATAACTGTACCTTTCAACCCTTACCAAAAAAAAAATCTTCTTTTTGCAGCAGCAGGAGACCATCCCAGTGAATCACAATTAGTCAAAAATGCAAGGAACAATGACTGTGGGGTGCCCATCCCTGGTTGATATACAATACAATCTCTACACCTAAGAATCCAGGTATATCATGAGGGAGGGGGAGGAAGTTTGTAAGAGCCAGCGGTCCAGGGCATCTGTTGCTGGGAGATTGTGTCTCCTGTCTATGATGAACACATGAACTGTCAACAATATGATTGCCTGAATGAGGCCCGCACACTGACATCAGTTCACACGCCAACATAGATGGGGGGACGTCTCCCAAGTCCCCAGCCTAGATGAAGAATCACAGACAGCTAATGACTGCTGGGAGAGGGGGAATCTGTTTTCTCCAAGGGTGAGCCCCTTGATCATATGGGCATACAGATATGGGCAACAGTAAATGGACTCAGTAGGTTGTCTCTCTTTCTGTGTGTGTGTGGAGGGGTAGGTGTGTATAACAAAGAACAATTGAGAAGTCATGAATTTGAAAAGGGGGAAACACAGGAGACATCGGAGTGAGGAAGAAATGATGTAAATTCAGGACTCACAGATGAAATGATCAGAAAAGAAAGAAACACCTGAAAGAAACAAGAGAGGTGACCTTATTGTGCCCAGCACATAATCACAGCCTCCCCAAACTCAGGTAGAAATGCCAGCTCCCTCCCTCTGGTTCTCCACTCCACTTTGATATTAATGTGAGTCATCAGCAAACTAATACACAAAGCAGATGTGGGGAAAAGAACTACAGGTCAACTCACTGAGAGAGCCCATATTTCTAGTTCATGAAATGGGCTTTGTAACTTCCATGGGAAATTTCTAGAAGGGGAGGCTAGAATTCTTCCCTGCCTCTGGTGAAGGCTAGTGAACCTCACAGCAATATTGTGTCACTGGAATGCTAATTTTTACTGGAAAGCGTCTTTAAAAGGTAGATACCAAGAGCCAACATTGTCCTAACAGAATAGTGACCACAAGATAGTGAAGCTCTCTCTGCATGTGTCCAGGTGACCCTGGTGGATAAGCCAGGGCGTGTGCATCGATTGATGGCTTTAAAGGTAGAATTGTGGAAGGCCGGAAGAGTAGTTTTCTGAGTTTTGTCCTACCAAGGCTAACAGAATGACGGTGGGGGCTGCCAGAAGTCAGAAAGTCATGTTTTAGGATGTCTCCCTCAGTGTCCAGGTAATTGAACCAAACCCGGAGCAGGCTGACTGTCACTTGAGAATTATGACATAGTTCTGGCAGAGCAATGGCTTGATCCCACTTCCAACTACCAGCGAGGTCCAATTTCCTCGGCGCTGCATATTAAGGGAAGTACAAGGTTAGCTGTGAGCCCAAGAATCCCTGAGCTTGCCGAAATAGATGCTTTCGGGAAAGTCAGTCCTCCGAGAACGGTAAAATGCTGACCTCAGCACTCTTAGGTAAACGAGGAAGGCGACACCTGAGGTTTGGTGTGACTTCATGGATATAGTCTCTCTTCTAGGGTAGCTCATAGATCTGTTCCATTTGTCCCTTAGTCTCATACGCACACAGTCCCCACCAGAGTCCCCTGCCTATGCCTGGGCTGCTTCTTGAGGTTGAAATAAAGACTTGTTTCCATAGGAAATACATTTCCCCCTTTTTATTGTTTGAGACATTCACAAATGCATATAAATACAGTTTGATTCAATTCACCCTGTCCCCTCCCCTCCAACCCCCCCCACCACTTTTCTCTCCCAACTTCATGTGATTTGTTTGCTGATTTGTTTTTAACCTCCCAAGTCCACTTAGTACTGTCTGTCTGTGCATGGATGGAGGCCATCTCCTAGAACATGGGTAGCCTCTCACGTTCTTTTGAATGCCTGAAGGAAAATGACTCCCTTTTCCAGCCGTCATCAATTGTCAATAGCGCCACAGCTAATAGTGGCGGTTAATGCCACATCCTACCTCCATGCTGGGATTTTTTTTCTGGCATGATCTTGTGTGGGTCTTACACTTGCTGTCACAACTGTTATGAGTACATATGTGCAATCGCTCCTTTCTGCACAGAAAACACTGGTTCGCTGTGGTCATCTACCACCTCTGGCTTTTCACTCATCCTTTAAGGCTGGGTGGATTTGCTCAGTAAGATTCAGCAATCTAATCTGTTAAGCTCATCTAAGTCATCGTCTACTGGGACTCCTAAGGTAGTGGCTCCTAAGTCAGCCTTCCCTACCTTACAGCATAACAGGAAGGGGAGCCAGAGACAGAATTTGAGTCTCAGTTTGTGACCTCTGCCTTTAGGTTTCCAGCTTCTCATTTGCAAGCCGGAGTGGTGAGTTTCTACTGTAGAGCATGTTGAAGTCCTAAACAAATATTTGATACATGTCCAGAACTTTGTAAATGCAATGTATTGTCAGTAGCCCCCAGAGGTGTGGCAGGAACAGGGGATTCCTAAGCATTGCTGGGGGCAGGAGGTCAGGGGGGCAACTCTCTGCTCAATCTGGGCACAGAACCAACTGCCCTGTGGGTTTCTAAGTGCATCCCCATTGAAGTTTTCTTCAGAGCGACAGGGGTTTGCACTGTCCTCTGTGTGACAAAGAGACAGTCTCTTCCTACTGCTGCTCCTAAACCAGAAGGATAGCTGAGCAACAAACCAGCGTTTCCTCAGCATCAGGCAGCCATGCAGGGCTATGTTTTCCCCTCCTTCGTTCCTTCGTTCGTTCGTTCGTTCGTTCCCTCCCTCCCTCCCTCCCTTCCTTCTGTACTTCCTTCTTTCTTATTTTGAGACAAGTTCTCATCATTTACCCTGGATGGCCTGAAACTCACTATGTAAAGCAAGTTGGCCCCCAATTTATAGAGACATCCCAAATGCTGGTGTTGAAGGCGTGCACCACTCCCTACACCAGTATTGTTCTTACAGTATTTTCCAGAAGTTATTTGTCTAGTGTTCCTGAACTTTTCTGCAACCTCATCGACTATGTTGCTGATTCACTGAAACTTCATCTTGTTTTCTGGCTTTTTTTTTTCTTCTTGAACCTGCCAGGTGCCTTACTGTTTCCTGCTGTCTGGGCTGAGATCCTGAGCCCGATCCTCCAATGCCTTTCCTGTTTTCACCTGGCATAGCTTTTCCTTTTTGTACCTTTACTCTTGGAATTCATATCTTTGCTTTCTCATGACATCCTGGCAGATGGTACAACCCATATGCTTACACACACACACACACACACACACACACACACACACACACACACACTGGCCTCGTCTCACCTGTGACATTTACAGCAAGAACCTGTTCCACTTATCCTGTTTGTCACCTTCCAAACCCAGTTTTCATGGGATAGTCTTTACCAACAAATTGGATCCAGTGCTTATTCCATGGCAAATCATCTGAGCTGCCAGTTCCGTATTTCTAGGAAATTAAAAAAAAAATCACATTTTAGGTAAGTGGAGGTATTGTGTGTGTCCACTAACGTAAGATGAGCTGGCTGAGATCAACTAGTGGCTTAGAAAGCTGCTGTCTCGTGGCTCACTGGACACCCATTCAAAGGCTTCCTCTATCAAAAGCAAGAGTTGAATAGTTAATCACATTTTAAAATAAGATCTGTAGAGGAGTCAGGCCTTCTTACACAGCAAACAAGGGAGAATGGAGAGAGGTGTTGATTTCCGCTTCCCACTCCTCTTATGGAGGGCATGATGCATAAGCAAAGATTTTACTATTGTTATTATTATTAGCTTAGCTTTCTTACCTCTACTTTGTATGGTAAACATTTTCAGACCCACAGAAGCATTTCTAAAAACACCCAGGAGGGACTCAGTGTTAAATGTTGACTGTTTTCGATCTCTCCGCCTGTGTTTCCCTTCATGATATTGTTGAGGTTCGTCATGTTAGAAGACACATCAGCACTTCCTTTTGTTCCCGTCCATCAGTGCTACATGAGGTAAACCCTACTCAGGCTGTTCCTCCTGTCCACCGTCTAGAGCCTGTTTTTTCTAAGCATCCCTGAACATGTTTCTTTGGCTACCTTGAGGCAATCATCTTGCCTGACATATAGTTCACATCCAAGTTGTTCCTCAAGGATCTTTCACACCTTTCTCTAAAATAAAAACAAAATAAAATAAAAATCCCAGATTAAATATAGGATCCTTTGTTACATTTTACTACCTGTCTGGTCCTATTAACTGAGAAAATCCTGTTTAACAAAATTATAACTTCTGAGACTGGAGAGACGGCTCAGCAGCTAAGAGCGCTTGCTACATTGTAAGAGGATCTGGGTTCAGTTTCCAGTGCCCTATGATGAGTCACAACTAGCGTAATTCCAGTCCCAGGGCACCCGAAACCCTCTCTGACTTCTGTAGACATTGTGTGCATGTGGAGCACATACATACATGCAGGCAACACACACACATAAAATAAGTAAATCTAAAAGAAAAAACATCCAAGGCAATTTAAGAAAAGTGGCTCAGATCTGACAGTTGGCCCCACTGCGCATGCACCTTCTAGTTAAGCCTTGTTGGGACTTCCACATCATGTTGAAGGTGAAAGTCTGACTGATGGTCATCGGGGACTGCTTTCCTGTCAGAAACGATTTCAAGTAACAGACTGCCAGTCATCTTGGATTCAAGGTTTTATACGGAACCTGTTCAAGGATTTTATATGGAAACTGTTTTTCCTCTGAGCCAGTTCTGGTTTGAGAATAATTCTAACAGTAGGGGATATGTGGCCACGCCTGCAGGTATCTTCAGCTCCCCGTGTGGGAGAACTGCTAAACAGGACTTTTCTTGGCAGAGGCCAAATATGGCCTCTACTATAATATAGAGGACTGCTGCCCACCAAAAACTGAGTGGCCCCAAATGTCGACAGTGCCGAGGTTGAATAATTCTCTACATGCGCAGACTAGATCACTCTGTTTTTATCTGGAGTGCAGTGGAGGGTTGATAAGGGACCGTAACCATCACAAGCAGCCATGGTGTCACCTTCAATGGCATGCAGCATATGCAAAGGTCAAGAGCAAAACATCGCCATCAGAATTCATGGGAGAATTGGATTAATGAAGACTTATAAAGGCTTTGATATTTTTCTGCTCGAGGGAACACCAATACCTGGGCTCTTTTTACATGACCTCCCTTTTGGGTCTAGATGAAGAGGAGAAATCCTCCCCAAATGGTTTTACCCTCTTCTTTCCTGGCAAAGGCCTTGTTTTTCCTTTACCTGGAGAGATGGGTAACAGTCCTCACCTGGGGGTTTACAGAACTCTAACTCCGTTCTTCAAGAGCTGCCACCCCATGCTCAGGACTCTGCTTCTGCCGCCAGGCTGCCACTATAGCCAGAGAGCAAGTGAGGTCACACAGGCTGGGGTGGCAGAGACTACACCAGCCTTTTGACCTTGGCCCGGCTCCCTTCTTGCATTCAGTTCCCTCTCCTGTGGTATCATTGTGGGCCTTCCCCCCAAACAAATGCCTACTTGTTCTTTCTCAGAGCTGACAGGGTGTCAGAGGCCCAGACTGAGCCCTGTTTGCATTCCTGGGGCTCCTGGCATGGCCTCAGGATTCCTGCAGCTGCAGGCTGAATGAGGCCATTTGACGCTAAGCTGTGGCCTTAAGTGGAGTTGGATGGCCCGGGATCCTCTCAGTTAGCAGCACTGTCATATCTTCAAGCAGATTCATGCTCATGCTCTTTTGGGGTCGGGATGGGGAGGGGGGAATCATTTGCCTGTGCAAGCTTCCACTTTCAGCTATTTTGAGGATCTGGGTTCTGCTCCCACAGCACTGGGCCTTAGCTTTCTGTGCTCAGTAAATAGTATTCAGCCCACACAATAGACGTCCAAGTGCTAAAACCAAGGCTTATAGACTGGGTCGGCACGGTAGAGAAAGGAAAAACATTTATGCTTCAGCCCTCTTGGAGTGTCCTGCAGAGGCTCTGTGGATGAAACACATGACAAATTAATAAGAAAACAAACAAACAAACCGAAGTTTACTAACACGAGCTTTGCAGATACCCATGGGAGTGCTAGTAATCCATTTAATCCTGCTAGAACGGATGTGACATACCATCACACACAGGACAGTTCACGTGTAAGGGTCAGGATGAAGAGAAGGACTCTCAATCTCCAGGGACAGCAACTTATCAAGTGGCAAATGGGTCAGGAAAGCAGTGGGGAGAGTTTTTTGCTTTGTTTTGATGGGGTTTTGGTAAAGTTTGGTATGCAAATCCCTGTAGGTCCATCTATGTGTGAGCTCAAAGGGTCTGGAGTTGTCTTCACTGATTAACTTATTCCTGGTAGAGAATGGAAGGTAGGCATCTTTCCAAATGTGTGCCCCAATTTTAGACAGAGAGCTTTGCCTGCATCTCTTTCTCAGCTGATTTCAGCTCAAAGTAACCATCACGCCAAAGTGGCACATTTGAGTGATCAGCGTCATCTGTCGGCCTTGATCACTCTGCTTCTTCGTTTTCTGCACCAACCCTCTGCTTTCATCTTCAGTTTAAGAAGCAGTCTTCTCTGAAAGGAGCGGTTTTCCCTTAAATAGGCAATATATGTTCTTTTAAAAGCAACCCCCAGGAATACTGTCCCCATATCCCTGAGCAGGCAGCTGTGTGGCCAACAAATTTCTAAATGCAAAATACTACACTCAACTATAACAGAAGACCCAAAGCTCCAAGACTCTACAGTCTTCCACAACCAGCTCTTATAATCTCCCAGGCCCCAAACAAATTTTCCTCCTAACCCTGTGCTCCCTGCTGACTGAGTTCCTTTCCATGTGTTCAATGAACCCACTTCGCTCCTCTTGCCGCCGTGCTTTGATACATCCTGGTTCCCGTGACTCTCACCCTGCCTTCCTTTGCGGTCCCAACTCCTGTGCAGGCTGCACCTTAGGTCAGTCACTCCCCAAATGTGCTACACACAGAACCACCTAGAGTTGCTTTCTACCTCCTGTTCCATTTCAACAAGAGTCTTTGGGAAGAGAATCCAAACACAATGAATTTTTAACCCTTTCTCCTGCGACCCTAATGTGCAGTGAGTCCCAGTGCCCGTGGTTTAAGAGGGTGTTTTGCCGCTGTTGATGTGCCCAGATGTGGTCTGGTGCCCTTGAGGCAGCTTCTGCATCTCTAACAAACTTCGGGGCGAGGCTCAAGTGATGCCACCGCTCTGCAGCCCTAGCTCTGAGGGGCAAACCAGGAGGCTTCAGCTCCTCCGAGACCTTGGTTCTTTGTCCAGGCTAGTGCCATTGGTGGTTCCCATCCGGGGACTTGTTAGAAATGCAGAGTCTCAGGCCGCACCTATTGAGTCAAATACTCTGGGTCCACCGGGTTTCTTTTAAGACATCCTGCAGCTGGTCCCATGTGCATTCACATCTGAGAACAGCTACTCTAGGCAGCGGCCCTGACAATCACACTGACTGTTTCAACTTAGGATCTTCATGAGGGAGGGTCCTTCCAATGACTAAGATGGGAATGAATAATTTGTTACCACATCCTGGGGTCACACGTGGACGCCACACATGGAGGTCAGAGTAAGAAAGGTAGAGCCACCAATGTCTTTATTGGGTCTCAGGCATTATCCAAGCAGGTTTCTCTGAGGGAGTTTCAGTCAATGGGCTTAAAGCAAGCAGGGCAAGACTTCCAGCATCATTCTGTGACTAAGTGATCACTAGACCACATCTGAGCAGTCCATGCAGCGTCTGAGGCTCAGGCAAGTAGGCTACTTACAGGTAGCAGAAGGCAGCTATACAAGGCAGGAATCTGGGTTGGACACACAGCTGGATGGGAGGAGATGCAGAACAGGAAACTGTGTTTGCAGGGAGTGAACTTGCTTCTGGAATAAGAGAGTCCAGCAGAGACACAACACCGAATTCTAGCCCACTATGTCTGAGACCGAGGCTTTCTTCCTTTCTCACTGCAGCCTCTGTTCTGCAGAGTATCTGATGTTTCCCCTACAGAAGGACATCTGTCTACTTAAATGGCCTACACACCCCACCCTGGAGGAGGAGGTCTGTGATGGATGGGCCTCTTGGATCCCTACCACCCGGCACAGCAGCAACATGTATGCACTCTGTAAACATTGGTTGGATGTATTGAAGAAGGGCAGATGGCTTGACTCTACCTTTTGGGTCAGTCCGGATCATTTCTTCTCTGGCTAGCACAAAGAAGGGGGAAGAGAGAAATAACAGGGCTATAAAATACCGCCAAGGTTATGTGGTGCCTGATCTCTATCCTTGGGAGTGTCTGTTTTGTAATACACTCCGATAAAGGGAAGGCTATTCTCACCGTTCTGCACACCCAGCTAGGAGCAGATTCCAGGGAGTCGTCTGGCTGATTCACTGGCTGGTGTGATTCTGGAAAAAGATGTAAAATTGCTTCTGATCCACCGAGAAGTCGATGGGCAGTGGTGGTTCTCCACTCTGACTCATAGAATTTCAATTGAGTACTGATGCCATTGAGGAAGTTGCCAACAAGGGATGTTCACCCAGCAGACTTAGCTGTTTTTCCTGGTGCTGTGACAAAATACCCTGACAAAGGCAACTTAAAGGAGAAGAAGTTTGACTCATGGTTCTAGGGTGTAGTTCATTATTGTGAGGAAGTCACGGCAGCAGCCTTCGAGGTGGCTGGTCACATTGCATTCCCAGTGGGGAAACAGAAGGATGAATGTTTATGTTCAGACGCTTTCTCTTTTGACTCAGTCCGAAAGCTCAGCCTACCGATGGGTGCTGCCCAGCGGGTTCAGGGTGGGATTTTCCCACTTCAGCTAGCCTAATCTAGATGATCCACCGGAGGCATGTCTCCAAGGTGATTCTGAATCCTGTCAAGTTGACAGTATTACCCACCACACCAACATTAGATCTGAGAGAGGAGACTCTGACAACAGGGTCTGGGCAATGCATTTTAACCATGTCCCAATGATGGTAAAGGTAGCCGGCATCCCACTAAGACAGATGGTAATTCAAAAATAAGTGAACCAGCTCTCTAGAGATTCATGTAGAATCTTTAAGCCAGTATATTGTGAGAAGGGAAAATATTGTGGAAGTGAAGAATGATAGCAATCATGAAAGGCATGAGCTCCAATTAGGAATAGTCTACGTACCATCTACTTATAGACAGACACATACAAGTCAACCAGGAGGAAGTGATGGTTACAGGCCACAGAAGTGGGAAGAGACCCTCGGGGACTCAGAAGGAGACAAAGGACTAATAGTGAGTTCATCTTCGCTTCCTTCACATCTCCAGGCTGAGATCAACCTTGCAGTGTGTATAGTCTCGTCCGCCTCTCTATTTTAAAGCATGTTCTCAAACCAATAAAAAAATGAACTTCGAAAGCAAAGGACTATACCCTGGCTTCTCTAAATGAGAGTGAGGCCTTAAGGTGCAAGCGACCTAGTGATTATGTCACCAGCAGGGGTGGGGCCTTTAAGCTCTGCGGAGTCACAGATCCCTTTACCACCTCTGTGCTGCTTCTCAGCATCCATTTAATCTCCCTGCCGGAGGAGGTTCAAAGTTCTGCTCCCCGGGAGCTCCAGGCTCAGAGACTGCAGGCTGCTTGCTCTCTGTCTCGGCTCCACCAGGGCGCAAGCATTGGCAAAGCTCCAGTGCCTTGCTGCAGGCAGCTCAAGCTCTTGGGCATGTGGGGGTGATCACTACCGGGTGCTGCACCTAGGACTGCAGAGGAAACACTCAGGTGGGCATTCCAGCACAGGAAGGCGGTCTGTTGGCTCGTCTCTATGCTGAAAAGCCCTCTTGTAAGGCGGCCGCTGGGACACAACGCAGGACGAGCGTGCTTTAGTGCTGAGCCAGCAGCTGGGTTAGTGAGTGGCCTGAGAAGGGCAGTGGAGTGATGGAGAGACTAACGAGGTCTGCCCTTTTGACTCGCCAGTCCTCTCCCAGGATTTTGCAGGCTCCAGATGGCTGGGTGCCAAAGTGAGCCAAAGCGAGCACTCTCCCTGGGTCCCAGCTAAGGTATGGGGGAACCAGCCACAAGGGATCATTTTCTTTGAATAAAGAGCCAATGCACAGCAGCACACGCCCTGCTCTCTTCCCCTCCCGTGTCATCCAGGCTGGCTGTCACTGAGCTGTTTGAGTTCAGTGTTCTTTCCTTGCTTACAGCATTGGTATAAAGAGGGAGAGGTGGAGAAGCCATGTTTGTGGAGCAGGAGTACACACACACACACACACACACACACACACACACACACACACACACACCCGCAATTAGGCCAGGCAATCAGAAGCCTTAATGGAGGAGTGCCTGTCAAAACAGTAGGGTGTCTGCTAACCTCTGAGGCTGCTTGCTTGCTGCAAGCAGAAACTATGAGGTAACAGAGAAACAGGAATGGATGAGTCTGTTTCTTATGCCTCCTTGCCTTTGAAGAGTTTGACAATACTGTCACGTCTTCTCTAGGGAGGGAGCTGGGGAGGACCTAGTTGCATTCTTTCTTGAGGAACTAGGCAGAGATACATAATTAAGGAAGAATAATTAATTAAAAAGTCAAACCTGGGGACTTGGGCTATATATTTCATGCAGGAATTCAAAGCACACAGGTTTCACCGAGGAGAAAGGAAACAAACCCATTACTCAAGGGAGGAGCTGGAGGTGGCTAACAACAGCGTCCCCAAACCAATGGATAAGAGGGAGGAGGAAGAGGATTCCATTTCTTTGAGCATTCTGCCAGCTGCAGAAACTGCAATGTCATCCTCTTTGCGCTGGACTGCAGTAGGAAGAACCACCCTTACCCGACAGACTGTAGAGAAACAGGGAGCCAACGCCTGTCTTGTGGGGACACAAAGGACAGCAGCATTTGGGCCACTGCTGGTGGAGTGGTTGTGTCTGGCAAGGATTCTCAACAAAGCCTTCAAGGCTGGCATGGAGGGGAGCCGTGCTTGACTGAAGAGTGGTCTCTGTCTTGACTGTGGAAGGGTAAAGCCGAACGTCTACAGTCACCATGTTTCATTTCTCTTTGCTTCTCCCATTTAGTTACATCGATACATTTTTCACCAGCAGTCGTGTCTCCATCGGATTCCGATCCTGTTAAATGGAGCTTCTGGGAAGGTTTTAGCCGAAAGGAACAGCAAGCAGGCAGCAATTATCCATGTTCTAGGTCCCATGGAATTGGTCAAGTTCATGATTCAAGTGGCAGAGAAATGCCCACAACCCCACACCCTGTCCCAGACTTGCTTCCGTTACCAAAATGCCTTCAAAAACTCATGCCAGAAAGAGCAGACCTTTATTTTTAGGCTCACCCTCCCTAAATTAGGCAATCAAAAATTTGCAATTCTATGGCTCAAATAAAAGTCTCAGTGACTAAGTCTCCTCTCAAGAACCTGCCGCAAGCAGCTGCACAAGCAGGACTCCAGCTTCCCAGTGGGTCCCCAGGCAGCCGTGACAGCTGTGGTGGAATGAACAAGGGAGAGTGGCTGGGAGCAGAGTCCTGCTACCAACGTCTCAGTGCCTGTGGGAGGAAAGACGAGCCCAGAAAAGATGACTCAGGCTTGGAAGCCAGATAAAGAACCGGGAGAGGCGGTGTAGAAAAGAGGCAGAAGAGAATAAGGGGACAAGTCAAACTCCGCTGCAAATAGCCCCAACTCTACCGAGTGTGTCTTTAGAGCCTACAATAGATTGGATAACATCACCCCAAACACATCCACATTCTCATCTATGGTCCCCAGACGTGGCAAAAGTGACTGGGAAACTTGACACGTATTCTTCAGATGGTGAAAAGATACCGTAGAGGCTGACTGAGCTCAGGGTCATCACGGGGGAGGCAGAAAGGTCACCGTGAGTGAAGGTAGTGTGGTCATGCAGGCAGAGGTCATAGAAACCTGAGGCCACAAAGTGACACCTGCAGGAAACTTCTAGAAGCTGGGAAAATAAGAACAAGTTCTCCGTTAGAGCTTCCAGCAAAATGCTGTCTCTCTAGACTTCTCACCAGCAGAGTGGTAAGAGCTTACCTGTATGAAGCCTTATGTCACTAGGTCCATGGAAACTGAGAACTATGCCCTGGCTTACTTCTGAAGCACTGGCTGTCCACGTAGTTTCATTCCCATGGAAACCCGTTCTTCGGAAATGGGTGTCACACGGTACTTGGAATGTGCCTTAGGTACACATTTCCATGACCTCAGCAGGGTTTTCCTCAGGGTAAATTTTATCCAGGGCAAAGGAATCACAGGTACAAGGAAGTCAATCCAAAGCTCTACACATGAGATTGTTAGCTCAGCATCCTAGGACGCTCGCTGTCCTGGGCAGAAAGAATCTTTAGGATGGGGACTTCCTGAACTCTTGCCCTTACAAGATGAGCTTGCCACAATAGAGTATCCTAAGTTTTACAACTGTATTTATTCTTTTGAAAACATTAAAAACTTCATTCATTCATTCACTCATTCATTCATTCATTCACTTATTTATGGGGAGAGCACACTAGGAGATCAGAGAGACAGCTCGTGGGAGTTGGTTCTCTCCTTCTATCCTTGGGATCAAACTCAGGTCCCTTAGGCTTGGCAGCAAGTGTCTTTACCCTCCAACCCATCTTGCCTGCCTGTATTTATCTATTCTTAAGTTCACTTTCTAATTTTGTAGTGTTGAAATCAAATCCAAGACCTCCAGCATGCAGATTAGTGCTGTCCTGCTGAGACACACCTTCAGCACTGATGATCTTAAATACCCTCTGTTGACTTTCCTATGTATCAGCTAAGTTACCATGAAAACCATTTCAATATCAGCCCTTCATCTATGACATCAAGAGGGAAAAAATGACTTCAGTTGGGCATATGGACTAAAACATCTATATATTTGGGAGCTAAAGGGGAGTGCATTGAACACCCTTTCCAAAGAATTTGTCTAAGGGTTCCATGAGACCAGGGTGGGGCTTCCTGTAACACTCCCAATGGGTTGCTCCACCCAAGAGAGTAGCTTGCAAGAGAGCTGTCTGAGATATAGAACTCAGAGATGTGTGGATGACTTAAAGAGGAAGTTTTTGGTGGGGGTTTATTACTATATGAGTTTCCCCCAAGGGAAAGGATGTGCATAGGAAAAATGCTATAGGGTATCACTAATTTTTACAAGAAATACAATCTTGGAGATAGAAGACAAAATAAATTTTCTTAGATATAGATCCTTGGTATGATTAGTAGGAAGAATTTAATTTTCTCTTTTATCTTTGGTTTAAGTTTTAAAATTGTGTCTAAAGGGTATGTTTTACATTTATTACTAGAGAAAGGTCATTGTTCATAAATGGATCCCTAAGGAATATGGCTAGCTGTCTGGATTAGGTGGCTTTCTTAGGAGACAGCTATAGCTTGTCACACTGAGCTTAGGAGTCCAAGTGCTGCTGTACTTGGTTTTCTTCCAGAAAATGGAGACATGGAAAGAGCCAGGAGAGAGGGTTTTTAGTGCTGTGGGAAGAAGCAAAGGCCGAGTCAGATCTTAAGTCTGTTTTTGGCTTGTTTGGCCATGAAGAAGTTACTGAGCTTCTTTCAAGGTCCATGTTCTGTCTGTACACTGGTGCTCAAATGTTAACCACATGGGACTGTTTGGGGAATTAGTTAATGAGACTTGGGTGCCTTTAGTGGATGACTGGCAGGCACACTGTAAGGATCCAGCAAGTTGCGGCTCTTACTCTCCACAGGAACCCATTGGACATTGTCAGCCTCTACGCTAACATTTCCTGTTGATACGCAAACTGGCTTTTCAATGCATACAATTGGGAAGCACTGGGAATTCTCAGATTCTTCCACAGCAATCATTAGACATGACAGAGTAATTAGGTGGCCAGGGGACATGATTAACCTCTCTGGCTTTTGGTATGCTCCTCTGTAAAAAGAGGGTGTGGAATTAAAAGACCTTTAAGGTTTCTTCCTGCTCTGTTACAATTCGAAGATTTTTTTTCCTACACTGAAAGCCTTCATTTGAAGGATGACTTCCTGAAAATTTAATCTTTTGTGTGTGAACTGCAATCTACTCCCTCCTACAATCCGCTGTCCCAGATGAATATCTGGGAACACAGTAAGGAAGACGCTGGTATCTGGCCAATTGTCTTTGTGTCCTGTAGCCAAGGCTGGGGGGTAGTGGCTAATTGCTTTGTTGTTGCTCGGGAGAACTATATTTATCTTGTGAATAGACTACAGGATGACATGGTCTAGAAGTTTAGAAGCCCACACTGTTGTTGAAGAGCAGAGAGCCAAGCAATTCAAGGAACACAATGGCTAGCTTTATGATGGAGAAACCCAAGATGGTGCCTGACTAAAATGAGAAATAACGTTTTGTCTTATAGGTGACTGTGCCATGGCTGCCCAGGGCTACCAATTACGGTGCCACCTCATGTAACCTCTTTCCTTGTCTCTTTCCCTCCTGCTACAAACATGCCTGCCAAATGTTTCATCCCCCCAGGGCCTTGCTTCTGGTTGCTATGGCAACAGCTAGCTACTCCAAGCTAAATGTGCCCTCCTGCCTTCTCCAACTAGGGAGACTTCAGGAGACAATCTCTGCCTGGAAGGGAGATGACAGTAACAGGAGAATCTCAAACTAGGATTTAAGACAGACATTTTGAAGCAAGCAATCTATACCCCTCAAATCAGAATAGGGAACCAGTCTTCCAGCCTACCTATGCATAGAGCCAATTCGAGCCTTGCTACTCTTGTGCTGTCCTTTATGAAACACATTTGCCTATCTGTTGTGATCAGAGTGACATGCCAATTGTGGTCTGTCCTGTGGAGAACAGCTGAGTGCTAAGACTCTTTAGTAATATTCAAATTCAATCAACCAGTGTTCTTTCCTCGCCTCTAACTAGTGCAAGCTTGCAGGAAGAAATGATTCCGTGTAAACAAGAACAATAGGAAATCTATAGCAATTTCTTAACCTGCACCTCACTAACATCTTTCTTACCTACAGTAGAGACTGTCAAAATGCCACTCCCATAAGCTATGTGATATTTGGAGATGCTGAATTTGAAAAGGAAAAACATTTCAGCATCATGGAAGGGGCGGCGGGGGGCGGGGGGTTGACATGGAATTATCACAAGGTGGGATAGCCTTGGGAAAAATTCCACAAGATTTCATCAGTTTCTTAAGCAATTTAACCTACTTTAAAATTTCTCATCTCAGGCACTGTTCAGACCTACAAACTCTGCCCCTCCTCAACCCTGTTTACTAGTTCGCAGGCATTAAACAGTAAAAGACCAACAGTGGTCTAAAACATTGCCCACCAACCTAGGCGATACAAAATTGTTACTCCAGCTTTTGGGAAGCAGAGCAGGAGGATAGAAAGTTTGAGGTCAGCCTAGGCTGCCTGCAAGACCTATCTTGTCTCAAAAACTCCAAATAAATAAAACAAAAAATATAATCTAGCACTAGAATTACATAAATTCTGGATAAACAACAACTAAAAATATATCCTAAGCAATTTCTTATCCTGTGTCTTACTAACATTTTTCATACCCAAGATGGGTATTTTCAGAAGGCAATTCTGGAAAACATAATTTAAATGTAGAATCATAATGGTGGGGGAGGGAAATTAGAGATGGAGATGATGCTGTAGTCCAGCAATCCCAACTACATTTACTGTCTCTAACCCTAAGTCTCAGAACAGCACACACACACACACACATACACACACACACACACAAGTCTGGTAGTGAATGGTAAAGATTTTAATCAAGACTACCGCAGAAGAAAAGAGACCCCAGTACAGGCCAGGCTTAATGTGTGAATGCAGGAGCAAAGTATAGGTCAATGGGTAGAAAACTGATGAGTAAACATGAGGGTGAGTGGGCGTTCTGGGTAGAAGATCTACTAGTGTCTGAGGCAGGGTGATCAGGTATCACTTTGGGATGCAGGGTGTCCTGATTTGAACATGACATGGTCACCAAAGGCTTGCTTCCCAATGAATATGGTATCCAGAGAGCAGCTTGGGGGAAGTAAATGGATCATCAGGACTCTGACTTCATCAAACAAGTAATCCACAATGGATGGATAGTTGAATAGCATCACTTTGAGATGGTAGGAAGGAGGGAGAGCCTAGCTGGACTATGTAAGTCAATAGTGAGCCTCCCTAGAAAGATACACCTTGTTCCATCTCCTTTATCTCTTTCCCTTGCTTCCCTGGCTGTCAGGAGTTCATTTTCACCACACCTTCTAGCCGTAATTCCTGGCCTCAATTCATGCTGGGAACAGTGGGTGCAGTCATGATGGCCAGCCTCACCACAGGCTAGGAACAGTGGGGTCATGTTCCTAGACAGAAACCATGAACTGAAATTCCTCTTCCTGTTCCTCTGAGATATTTGTCACAGTGACTAAGAAGGTAACACATTAGGAGATGACAAATTTGACTGAATGTTGGGTGGTTAGATATTGGGGCTGGGGACTACTGCTGTGGGATGGTCTTTTTGTCAAGTGTGTTGCTAATTAGTCAATAAAACACTGATTGGCCATTGGCTAGGCAGGAAGTGTAGGCGGGACAAGGAGGAGAATAAAGCTGGGAAGTGGAAGGCTGAGTCAGAGAGACACTGCCAGCCGCCACGATGACAAACAGCATGTGAAGATGCCGGTAAGCCACGAGCCATGTGGCAAGGTATAGATTTATAAAAATGGATTAATTTAAGCTGAAAGAACAGTTAGCAAGAAGCCTGCCATGGCCATACAGTTTGAAACCAATACAAGTCTCTGTGTTTACTTGGTTGGGTCTGACGGCTGTGGGACTGGCAGGTGAGAGAGATTTGCCCTGACTTCTGGCCAGGCAGGAAAACTCCAGCTACAGACTACCTCTAAACAAACTGACTTTGCAGAATGCTTATTAAAATCAGGTGATGCATAAAGGGACACCAATATCCGGACCCAACAGGAGCCCCATTACCATTTATCAAGGAGAGAAACTCAGAAATTTAGAAGATTAGTAATCCACATAAAGTGTCAGGGATCAAATATGTGCTTGTTACACGAATTTGTATTGCAAGGCATTAAGAGAAGGTGAACAAGATTATGAAAATTTAAAAAGACATGCATTTAGGAGAAACAAAACTATTCAAGTCCTTTGCCCAAATTTTTTTTAAAGTTTCTTTTTGCCGTTGAGTTGAATGAGCTGTATGTATTTTCACCAACTTTTCAGATAACTGTTTCATAGAGTCCCATCATAGCAGCTGTGTTTCAGTGTATTTCCTTTGTGGTGCAGAATTCTTCCATTTTGAATAGTTCTACTTAATTTAAAACATTTGCCTCTATTGCTTGTTTTTGGTGTCATATAAAAAATTCACTGCCAAGACCATTGTCAAGTTTGTGCCTGGACCGGTATGGTGGTCCGTGTCAATAATCTCAGCATTTAGGAGTTAGAGGCACAAGAGTCAGCAGCTCAAAATCTTTGGCCATTTAGAAAGCTATAGGTCAGCCTAGGGAACATGAGGCCCTGACTAAGAACCAAATACACAAATAAGCAAACAATCAGAAGCTAGTTCTTCGTGTCTTCTCCTAGGAATTCTGGGATTTCATGTCTTGGCCAACAGTTACACAAAAAGATGCCCAACATCACCAGGGGTAAGAGAAATCGAAGCCAACCAGGAAATACCAGGATAATGACTACAACAACCTTTAGAGGGTAGTGTTGGAAGTGTCAAATTAGTCATTATGGAAAACAATACAGAGATTCTTGGAAGGCAAAAACCAGACTCCCCAAAAGTTGTCCTTGACCTTCACACATGCATTGTGACATGCACATACCTTCCCCCATCCCCACACAAAATAAAATTTAAATATAAAAGAAAAAATCAAAGTTAAAAACAGGACTACCATGGGATCCAGTAATCCCACTCCTGGGCTGTAAGGGAACTAAAATCCTATCTGGGAGCTATCTAAACAACCTGGTCATTGCAGCATTATTTGCCACAGCCAGCATGTGAAAGAAATCTAAATGTCCTTATACAGAGCAATGGATATAGAAATTGTGATTTATATATCAGCCTCTAAAAATAATAATAGCCAGGTAGGGTGGCAAATGGCTTTAATCCCAGTGCTATGGAGGCAGAGGCAGGAGGTTTTCTGTGAATTGGCAGCCAGCCTACAGGGCAAGTTTCAGCCCAACCGGGGCTACATATTGAGACCCTATCTCAAAAACAAACAAACGACAAACAGAATAGCCTGTCATTTGTCACAACCTGGATGAAAATGGAAAACATCACACTCAGCGAAACAAGCACCACTTAAAAAGCAAAATGCTGCACAATAGTTTATGCATGTGGAACTTTAGAAAGTCAGTTTCAAATGGTGACTTTTAAGAATTTCACAGAAGAGGAGGGTGAATTAGAGGTAAATGGGGGGAGGTCAAAGGGTGTGGGAAGATGCCTGGTGGAGGCTACAAAGCTTCACTTAATCAGAATGCCTAAGTTCAGTGGGCGGCATTCCGTGCTAGCCACAGTGCTGTTACTGATGTTTACTAAGAGAGTTTGCTGTCCATGTTCTCACCTCACAAGCGGACACCTATGCAAACTACTTGGCTGTGCTAACTAGCTCTTTATGTATATGTATTCCAAAGTCCCAAGCTGTACATCTTCAATATGTATAACTACAATCCATACACTGTGAAAGACTTGTTTCAATGAATATTTACTGAATACCCAATGCTGTTCTGAATAGTCGGCTGAGGAAAAAGTAGTGACAAGGAGGGATGAAACCTTTGACATTATGAGTTCCTAACCCTAATCCTAACCATAACCATAACCATAACCATAACCATAACCATAACCCTAGCCCTAATCTTAACCCTAACCCTCCACATATTAGGTGGAAGGAAAAAATAGGCCCATTCATACATGCTTTGGGGTAGCGGTAATTCTACTGTAGTTTTCTGAGAGCTGTGCACCATCATGCTATAAATCAGAGACGTATAAATAAAGTGTGTGGGGTGTGTGGGGGTGGGGGACCAGGTAAGGATCTGTTGGGACTAATCAGAGAATCATTCCCGACTTTTTGGATTATTTGGGATGGAGGAGAATTTTCTGTTACCTGTAAGACTGTATCAGTAGTGATATTCACTTGGTTAGACATAAGACTGACTTTGAATTTGAGGCCAGGTCTAAGTGAAGGGTCAACACTAGGGTGTGCCAAGCACTCATTATGTGCCAGATGCTGCTCTCGTGAATCACACAGTTGCACGGTCATTTCTCACATCAGCCCAGTGAAGTTGTTGCTATTCTAACTCATCAGGCACTTGGAAACTGTTTGTCTAAAGATCACTGATGTTTCACTTTGGTCCACAGGTGGAAGCAGATGAAATCCTGGCATCTCTCCTGATGTCTCACTATGGCCCTCACACGATCCTGCCATCTCTCCTAATGCCTCACTATGGCCCACAGATGAGCCTGCCATCTCTACTGTTTTTTCCTGTCTAACTCGCCTTGACTCTGCCTAGGCATGTTAATCATTCAAGGGATGCTTGTGTGTCTACCTTGTCTCATCCCCCTCCATTGCTGAAAGTGTAGAGATGGGTCATTGTCCTAAGCCTGAAAGTGATTTGGATCCCAAGACAGCAGAAGACTTACAGGACTTGTCACATCCTGAGAGGGTAACTGTCCATGAAGGTGAGGCTGCACCCTGAAGCAGGAGGCATTGTCATATAAGGACAAGATTGATCTCCTAAAGTGACAGCAGTCATAGTAACTTCCTTGGGCCATGTCTCAGCACCAGAAGTGAGACAGTGATGAACCAGAGCATACTTTGACCAAGACAATATTGCGCATGTCTATGTCCCTATGCTGGTTCTTCCTCCATTAAGAACTAAAGCTCACATCAGAGCTCCTCAGGACTCTAAAACGGGAATGGCCATTGGGCTCCATTATCTGTCCTTCTAGACATGACCACACTGATCAAATCTCTTTGCTTTGTTTTTCATCATTGCTTATCTCTTCACTTTATTGGGATAGGCGGCTGAGTTCAACCGTTAGGGTTTCAGGAGCTCACATTTTTGTCTTCAAACTCCATTTCTAGCAATATGGAATTTTCACCAACTTGACCCGGAATAACAAGGGGCTGAGACAGTTCTAACAGGTTTCACTCATCACTCATAAACTCTCCAAGTAGTACCAAGATGCCTTGGGAAACCATCCCACCTCCAAGTCTTTCTCAAGACCTTAAGCATTTGTCCCCAAACTCTGAGCCTCATCTTCACTTAACAGGAGCTTGGATTACAACAGTGGCTCTCAACCTTCCTAACGCTGTGACCTTTTGATACAGTTCCTCATGTTGTGGTGACCCCCCAACCATAAAATTATTTCTTTGCTGCTTCATAACTGTAATTTCCTACTGTTAGGAATCATAATGTAAGTATGCTATACACAGGATATCTGGTATGTGACCACTGTGGAAGCGTCATTGGACCCCCAAAGGGATTGTGACCCACAGGCTGAGAACTGCTGAGTTCCATCCACATGACTCTGAGACCTCAAGATTCATGCTTGAATGCAGAGAGCTGCCTATACCGCAAGAATCTGGAGGAGCTGGGATGTAAGTGCAATGCTTACCGTGTAGTCTTGATATTCAAGACTCAAAGAATTTCAGCTGTTCTCTCTGGGGAGCTTTAAGATCAGCTAACGATCTTTTTGTTTTGATATTTTGGATGCGCAGTTAAATGGAAGATTACAAATATATAGGTATTTAGCCACCTGCAGGAAGTAGACTCCAAACAAACATAACTTTTTAGACATTATTGAACAAAGTACTCTTAATGAGAATGTCCCCTGTAAGAATGTCCCCTGGAACTTTTGCGGTGTCACTTCTGATGCCTGTCCTAATTGAAACATTGTCTCCTGCAGGGCAGACGTGAACTCGGAAGACTTGGGATGCAAGTCTTCACAAGACTCACAAGGCTGAAAGTCATACAGGCAGCAGGAAATTGCTGGGAAGAGGGGACTCTTCTGCAGGTTCTGTAGGAGCCTTCAAGGGTCACACGGAGCTCCTAGGATGTGATGTTCAGGAGTCATCGCCCATGATGCTGTGGGCTTTTAGGACGCAGATGCCTTTAAATCACTCATTCTCCTAGTACAATGGTTCTCAGCCTTCCTAATGCTGCGACCCTTTAATACAGTTCCCCTAGCCACAAAGTTATCTTCATTACTACTTCATAACTGTAATTTTGCTACCGTTAAGAATCATAATGTAAATAGCTGGTATGCAGGATGTCATCCTTTTTGACCCTCAGAAGGAGCACGGCCCACAGGTTGAGAACCACTGCCTTAGTAACTCATCCCTCACTCATGCTCCTGTAAGAAATCCTAATAAACTCGACACTCACTAAGTTAAACTAGGGTGGGATTGCCGTTTCACTCTGCCCTTAGGGCCCCAGCTAGGATGACTTGACACTTGTGCCCATCACGTCGTGACAACTGACACAATTGCATTTCAAACACACGGAGAGATGGACGAGTCGCCTCTTCATGTGTCCTTCTCTTTATCCACAAGTGTTTGTTTGGCACGCAACCAGTGGATTTTATTTTTAAGTTTAAAACTCAGTTAATAGGTAGCACATCAATCTAGGTGTTCCTCATATACAGCTGGTATTAACTTACTGATGAGAGTTTTGGGTAGAGAGAAGCCCTGAAAGGACAGGATGTAGGGCAGGTGAGTTCCCATTGGGCTGGGGTTCAGGAAGTTCAACTCCTAATGGTTGAGCTGTCAGAAGGAGAAGGAGAAAACTGGAGGTGGAGCTGGGAGGGTGGGGAGGTTGAGTAGTGGAGGCTTAAGATAGAGACTCTGAAATGGGCTGGGGGAGAGGGCAAAGACGGTAGGGAAATCCGCCCTCACCGTTTTAAGGGAGAAGAGCACTTTGGGATAATCATAAAATACAGACCTAAAATTATCCTTCCAGGAGTCACTTAGAGCCCCAGAAGAGGTCATGGTAACCTTAGCTACCTCAGGGGAAGCTTGAGTATTTTCGTCACTTGCTTCATTGTAGAATTAACTGCAGCTAAACTATAAATTCTTTTTTTGAGAGCCGTAATAACTTCCTTGAACGTATTTGTGGCCATGTGGAGTGAAGACCTACCCTTAACCCCATCCATCACCAATAACTAGCAAAGAGAAAGTCATTCACAAATGTCTGTGTGCTTAAGTTTATCCAGGCTACTGGGTACAGCTTCACCAGGCAGACATATGTGGGGTTCTTTTCCTAGTTAAACAGCAAATACATGAGAGCTAAAGCATGAACTCTTCAAAACACACATATGGAAATATGTGTATCGTCCCTTCAGCGGGGAATGATTCTCAGGAAGGGAACTTCAGTAACACTGCCAACCTCATTTGTGCGGCTATAAAAAGGAGCGGCAATTTCATCAAGGCGCTTAGAATATGTTATAAAATGTCGGCATATAATTAATTCAAAATGCTCCATCGTTAAATCATGTAATGATGCTTTGTGAGCGTACATAAGCTTAATTGGGAGGAATGTAACTAAGGAGATTGAGATCTGGAGTGCTGTAAATAAAACAACTCCTGCGACGTGAATTTAAAGCATCAGGCAATTTCGTGAAGGTCCTGAGGCTTGCTCCGGGGTAGCAGTCTGTCTGTTCTATTCAAAGACGAGAGGATGACTATCAGTCCAACTGGAGGCCCTGGTGAGCTACGGGAGTTCTCTAGTGTAAGAGAACTGGGACATTGGGGACTACCACAGCCAGTCAGTGCCTCTCAGTCTGAGGTGGAGCTGTTGGACCTCTGTGGACCATTGCACTGTGGTGAACCCTGGGCTTTTAAGTATAACGCTAGTATTCTGAAATTTGTTTTCTCTTTGGGAAAAGGGACAGAATAATACCTGTCTGTTTGTTTGTTTGTTTGATTGATTGATTGATTTTTGAATCATAGAGGGAAAAAGGCCATTCCACAACAACACCAGAGCAACTTGTGGAGTGCTTGGTACAGGCCTAGCGTGTAAGGGGTGGGCATTCAATAGACGCTATTGGTTTTCCCAGGCCCCGAGCACACCGTGTCCTGCATTGTAAGAACAACAGACGGCTGTGGAAGGGACTGAAATGTTCTGTTGATGGGTTCCCCGAAGGGGTAGTCTCTATTCCTAGTCAGACACTAAAGTGACAAGTGGGGCTAAAACCAGCCAGTTTCAAGACCCAGTTGAGATAATGACATAGAAAACTCCACAAGGCCAGTAGTGGCTCCATGCGATCTTGGAGCTGAGGGCAGAAAAGCAGCCTGGCATTTTTTTTTTCCTGCCATTTCTCAGCCATCAATAGCTAGCGGCAACCTCTGTCCCCTCTCCAGCTGCATCCTCAGACTCACGAGCACAATGAACGTTAGGCAGGCACTCACAATCCCTGAGCCCTGGCACTCGAGATAAAGCCTACTTGCTATTCTCGACAGAGGGGTGCAGCCCACTGCCTATTTGGACCTGTTCTTTGAACAACAGAAGGGAACTATTTTTCCTCACCTTTGTCCCCTTTCTGAATGGGGACATTCAGAGCTTTGAGGACTCCAAGGAGAGAACTCTGTTCCTTCCTCTCTGCAGAGTGACTCTTGAGTCTAAGATGATTCTTTACACTCTATAGGCAGACGACTCTTTATAGTACTTTTCCTTTTCTTTTTGTTATCTGAAATAAGGTCTCACTCTGTAGCCCAGGCAAACCTTGAACTCTTGATCCTCACACTTCAGCCTCCCAAGTGCTGAGATTACAGCTGTGAACCGCCATAACTGGGTTGCTACATGCTTTTAAGTACACTTCTTTCTGAAAGTGGCCATGGGTTAGAGGTAGGCTGCATGTTATGACCCTCACTAGACATAAGAGGAATCCCATGGAGCTAATGAACTCACCTAAGATGATAGGGCCTGTTAGTGATGCATGTGGGGTGTCAATGTTAAGACACCAGTTGTGGATGGATGGCTGTATCATGCTATACAGCACAGAAGAACAGACCAGAATGCTATGCCCTCCCAAGGGAAAATACAAGTGCTAGGCTAAACACATTGTATTGCTGTTTTGATAATTGAGCTCTAATTTATGATGACATGTCTATAATTTTATCTAAAATATATTCAAATTTATTTATATTTTTAGCTTGTCAAATATGTTCAGTATCTAAATTTTCTCATCCTAGTAAAAACAAAGCAAAGCAAGGCCAAAAAAAACCTCTTAAGATTTAAGATGGAAGAGAAAAAATATATAATGTTCTCTCTCTCTCTCTCTCTCTTTATATATATATATATATATATATACATATATACCCACACACATATATAGAGAACATATATATAAACACACATATATATGAACACACATATATACATACAAACACATACAGAACACATATATAAACTCCTCTTCCCTTATGTCCTCTTATGCTGCTGTGTTGGGGCTATTGGTCTTTCCTAGAAAATAAGAATATAAAACACATATTTAATATGTAAAGTTAATAATTTTCACATATATAAATCTCAATAACATTAAATTTCATAAAGGAGGAAAATATCTTTTCAAAATGACAGAGAAAGAAAAGCAATGTCATAACTAAAAGCCTAGTCTTACACAACAAATATGCAAGACTGTATAAAAACCCTTTGAAAGATCAGTGAAGGCCATAGATTGTGAAGGTCAAACAATGGAAGACATGCACCTTGCTTTTGGAACAATCATCAGAAACACATCTTTCTTAAGTTGATATGTGCAATTACTATAGTTACAATCACAATAGCCGGAGGATGTTTTTGAGAATTAGACAAGTTGATGCCAATTCATGTGGAAACACTGGAGAGCAACAGCAGCCTGGGGAAAATACAATATAGAAGAGCGATGAGTGAGGGTTGGATGGAATTATAAAAAGGTAGAAATAAATATAATGAGGTCCTTGGTCGATGGCACACAGATGAATAAATAGGCTGAAATACAGTCTAGAAGTAAATACAAATAACGTACATGCACATATATATTTAGTGTAGGATGAGAGTGATTTTTGCTTATCAATGTGGTAGATTGATCAGTAAATACTTAAGAAATATGTATGTGTATATATTTATGAATATAAAGAAGTGAAGCACTAGAAGAAAACTCTGTGTGTGTGTGTGTGTGTGTGTGTGTGTGTGTGTGTGTGTGTGTGTAGAGAAATAAAGGCTTTCTTAGGTATGACACAAAATCTAAAAATCATAAAAAGCTATCACAAAAATACATTTGCTAAAATAAATGTTTTAATCTGAAATGCTTTAAATATCATATCTAAGAAATGCCTTAAATTTTTTCTAATTTATAAAATTTTAATTTAAAAGTTGTAAAGTTTATGAAGAAATAGTCCCTAGCCAAACATATAATTCTTTTTTAAAAATATGCCTACCTGTATTAAATAATATTCTACTCTCTAGCTGTAGTAGGGTTGACACACCTATCTATCACATTGACGGGAATCCTGTTTACTTCCCAGTTTGGGAAATTACTTTTTCAAATCCTTTCTGGACCTCTTTGGGTAAGATTAGGTATGGACATGCACTTTCCCAAACCCAGAATTCCCAAGCCTACAAAAGGCTGAGTAATCATTTAAACTGCAGTGGTAGCCTGCTTCCCCACATCAAATGACAAGGGTAAGACAGACGCTCTACTATATCCACAGCATCATGGAGAACATCCCATTTTAGAAGCCAGCGGTGGAATGATGATCAGTAAAGCTCTTGGGAAGGTAATTTAAAAAATTATAAAGACATATTTCTTTTATTTCAGAAATCCAATTTCTAAGAATGGTCATGCTAGCACATCTCTCTAAAGAACATGTGAACTCATATCCATCAACGACTGTTTGCACTGATGAAATTTTGTCAGTATGGAATAGTTAATTAAGCTAGATGCATGGGTGGAGTGAAATCTGTGCAGCTGCTAATGTCTAAAAGAATTGGTTTTAAATATTAGCTGTCTTGACCACGGCACAGCTCCAAGGTCTCCTTCTGTTTTGGCAAATTCCCAGAAAGCTGTCAGGAGGATGAAAGCAACTATGAGTCACCACTGGCTTCTGTTCCTCTGGTTAAATTCACTGTGACATGGACTAATTCATTACAAGTATAATTCATTGATTTTATATGGGCAGAGTGAATAGATTATGGCCACCCTTTCATGACATCCTCAAGAATGAGTTAGAAGAGGACAAAAAAAAAAGGTAATTTTTCAAAAAGGTACATGGTAGCCAGTCAGATCCCTAGATACTTTCCAAGGAGGCAAACGCAACAAGGTTCCTGGTTGATATAGATTGTGCACATGGCTGTGTATACTGTGAGAGAGACAGAATGATAGAGATGGGAATATGACTCCAGAAATCAGGTTTGGCTGCATAGCTTTCTGGGTAGCTTAAGTTGCCTCTGGATGTCAGTGCAGTGGGGGAGGGGAAGGAAGTCAAGTCTAAGAGCCCTTTCCAGAGTTTTTCAACTTCACTGGAAAACCCTTTACCCATTAGTTGGTAGTATTGCTGTGCAGAAAGGGGTGGGGCACTGTGAACCCAGATCTGTGCTGATGGATCCTTTGATTGTGCCCTAGGATAGCTAAGGATTCAGCCCAATGCACAAACTGTAAAATTACTTAAAACTTTAGCAGATGTGTGTGTGTGTGTAAGTGTGCACATGCTTGAGATCTCACATGCATGTGGGTGGCCTAAAAGTGTGTTTTTGCTTGTTCATTAGTCCCCCCGCCCCCCGAAATCAGTAGTACAGTTCTCAAGTATAAATTTGTAGATGACAATGTGACAATGTCGTGCCCCAATTCAAAGATGTGCCTGGGTTGTACCAAGATTCCTCAGCTCTCATCTGGGGAGATACCTGAGTTACTAATAAACTTGACCAATGTTAGTCTCTCCTCTACAGGATGGCTCTTCCCTAAGAGATCTGCCTACTTGTATTAAATAATATTCTACTCTCTAGCTGTAGTAGGGTTGACACAGGCATTGGTATTTGCTAAACATTCTCCCCCTTTTCCAAGGCCCAAGAACAAAGGGTTATGTTCCCCCATCTCCTCCTTCTCGTCCTCTGTCAAAACTGATTTTTGAGACAGACTCTTTCTAGGTAGGCCAGAGAAAGTTGGCTGGGAAGCTGCTATGCAGACCAGGCTGTCCTTGAATGCTTGGTTCTCCTGCCTCACCTGCTCTAGTGGTAAATATTCCACATCTGTTACATATCTGTGCCACTAGACCCAGCTCAGTAGTAAGGGTCAAATCAATTTGAATCCTAGGTCTGCCTTGACCTGACTCGCTCAATCTTTGTCTATCTATGTGTGTATATATGCATGTATGTATGTATGTATGATCTATCTATCTATCTATCTATCTATCTATCTATCTATCTATCTATCTATCTGATGGTGTGTCTCAGTATGTAGCCCAGGTTTGCCTCAAGTCCCAGTTTCCATGGCACTGAGATGACAGGCATGTGCTATCATACTTGGCTTTCTTACTGACGCTGTCTCCTTTCCAAATGCTCAGACACATAACAGTGGCACTTCTTGTTTTTATCTCTGCTCACCCTCAAATCCACTCAGGTATCTCAATGGGTATAAGATGGAGAACAAGAGAGAGATGACCATACAAAACACACATATATCTCAGAGCCAGGGAAGAGGTCACCAGAAAGTGAAGGGCAAGGACAAAGTTGAGTTATTCACTCCAAATTCATCCCAGAATCTTAAGCCTAGCACCTATACTTCCGCAGTTTCCACACGTCTGAGTTGATTCTATGCACACCAAAGTTGGGAAGCCCCAATCGATTGGGAATACAATTACAGTACAATCAATAAGGAAGCAGAGGGGGACTTGCGACAAACAGTAAAGGGTCAGAGGGCTCATGGCCAAGGAGACTTGGACCAAACCATGGCGTTTGTGCAGGCTTCTTAGACCTCGAAACAACCTCACAGAACAGAAGACTTTATGCCAAAATCGAAACCCAACCATGTGTACTACTGAATGGCCAATCTAGTTGGTTGGGGCACTCAGAGCAAAACTCCTTAATGATACTGGCCATGAGGATTAGGATCCAACTTAATCCAAATTTACCTGATTCTGACTTGATGACATCTGAGAAGATCTGGTTTCTAAATAAGGCCATGGGCACTAGGTTAGTCTTCAACATGTTTTCAGAGCACACAAGTCAAACAACTGCAGACAGATGGCACACAGCAGCTTTCATTTTATACCTGGCTGTTGTGCCCAGGGGACCCACAGCAGCCACACTTTTCAGATCTCTCTTTTCGCCACGTTTTTATTTGCAGACCTATAAATTATTCTTTCTAGAGTCTTACTTCCAGCTAGTAAAAATATAGCTGGAATGGAGAGGAGGGTGACATACCAGTGCCTTCTCTCTCTCCACAGTGCCGAGCAGTAATTTACACCAGCTGTGTGGGTGCCCCAGGAGTGAAGTGCCAATTTGTAAGGAAAGGAAAACACTAATGGTCAATGAACAGGTGCAGTCAGCCCCTCATCTTAGAACGCATTGCCACACCCAAATGGGCATGGGGCGTTAAGTGGCTTCACATGGCCCTGCCCTCAGGTTTGTTTTCCTCTTCTTACTGGAATGCCAGTGTGAGAAAGAACAGGTGATAGAGAAGCAGCTACCTAGCTTCTTGTGAATGTCATGAGGACTTAGAGGGGTCTGTTTTTGTTTTTCATATATATATATATATAGTGTTCTACGCCAACCCCATTGCAAACATATGAAACAAAGACACATCTTTACTCTTTGGCCATTGCAGAGACAGGGTTCTTGGTATGCTTGCATTGCACTTGGAGATTGGAGGCATTGTGTACTCTAAACTGGCAAGGGTCATTCCAAATGGCCAGTGAGGTAATCCTCCAAAGGCAGAGCCTGCTGGAATCTAGGATCAGAACTGGAGTTTAGTATAGTTTAGTATAGATACTAAAGAGAGAGAGAGAAGTTGGGAGCTCCAATGATCAGTCGGAAGGGAAGCTGACATTTCTGTACCGGATCATGACAGGTTCTCATCACTGAGGATGCCCCTACCTCCGGAACCTGGTTGACCTGATGCCCCTCATCCTTCACAGTGCTCAAGCTGCCACCCGCAACACCACTGAAGTTTCACTACAGTCATTCACTCAAGGAACTCTCATACTTTGGATTTTACTTTCATATTTAAGGGAGATGCAGAAGGCACAAGGAGAAACAGGACCCAGGGCTTTGATTCCTTTGGTATTCCCAGTCCAAACACACAGGTATACATAACCTCTGTTTTTGAATGAATTGATCTTATTTTGTCATCTTCCTGCTTCTCTCTAGAGCTTTGAGTCCAGCGTTCTCATGGGCAAATGTGAGAGCGGGTGGTTTCTGGGAGGTGGGAGACTAGGAAAAGCATTTTCCAGACTTACTTGGGAGCAAGGCAATACGAAAAGATTCTGGTTGAGCAGTGGAGTTGTTAGAAGAAAAAGAGTCATTGTCGTGGCAGTGTTCCTCTTTCCAACACCACACCAAGCCAACTGCTGAGAGCTAAGGCTGGTGCCTGGACTCGGATCCTCATGCTGCTGTGTCTCTAGAAGCTTCTGACACTGGTTCTGAAGCAACGGCAGCCCCTGTGAGAAAAAGCTGAGTCTTAAGAAGGAAATCTTGGAGACTGTAGTACATCAGCTCCTACATTTGATTCTGAGCTTGTGTTAGTTTTCATTTCCCTAACATACAGCTCTGAAAGACTAGAGTGGAACAGAGCGGAAACTGTCACGAAGGTGTGGAAGGGCGATTAATATGTTTGTTCTCCCTCTCTCCCTCTCTCCCTCTCTCCCTCTCCCTCTCATGTGTATGGGCATCCTCATGTTAATTCCCCAAACACAAAAGGCTTTGGGAAGCTGATTTTTGAAATTGAACCGGGCTGTGACCCAGAAATATTTGGATTATATTACTCCATGGCCTGGCGCATGGATCTAAAATATCATTTTCCACTGGAATATGAAGGAAGGCTGTTGATCTGCAAGGGAGTAGGGAGACAAAGTCTCAGCTGTACCTGTGTGCGTGTTTCAGGTCTCAACTATGTTGTCCTCACTTAAGAATTAGACATTTTCTATGCCCAAGTCTCTAGAAAGGCTTGGCCTTATGTCCACTAGGACTCCATAAAATTCTTACATCCTGCATTTTCTTGGTCAGGGTCAAGGCTTAAGATGCAGGCCGGTGACAGCGTGCTTTAAGTCTCTTAAGTCAGTTGTCCCGACTGTCCTCTTCACTGCTGCACTGTCTCCTCTGTCATGTAGGAGGGGGACTGCCTCTTTCCTTGTTCTGTTGACCGGCTTCATATGTGCAGTGTCCCTTCAGGACTCAAGAAGTCAAGAGACACTCCCACCAAAAGGTTGAGGCAGACCGAGCCAAAGCACTTGACCATCTGCAAGTCTGGGGTTTCATGTTAGTTTGGTTTTGGTGCTCTTTAAAACATCAATGGAAAAATAGCTTTCTGGGGAAGCCAGTGACCTCAATTTAGATGGAAAAGGCTTGAATTTGAATCTCTGCTTTCCATTTCATATCTGAACATCCTGAGGGAAGTTATGTAATATTAAGGCCCCCTTTTTTTTTTCCATCTCTAACACTGCAGTCATATATTTCCCACACAGAACAGTTCTAATGGTTGGATGGTGGATGAGGCCATGCTTGGCACATGGAAGGAAGTTACATGTTTATCTAACTTGTAGATCATTACTTTAAAGTTCTCACAATGTTCCTGTAGATTATCTAGTCAAGGTTTAAGGCCCAGTGAAGTAGGCAAGGATGATGAAGACATAACTAATATGAGAACCCAGGCCTTCTGGCTTCCCAGTAGTCGATCTGGGATTTACTATATAAATCCAGGGGAACCATGGAACACGCTAGAACATTTGTCTGCTTAATGACTTTGGACTTCAACATATTAGGTTGAAACTCTCAGAGGGGATGAGCGAACTCACCATTTGAATAAAACATTCAACTGTCTTCTCTTATTTTGTAAATAAATTCCTCTATTCTAGGTATCTGGTTGTGTCTTACAACTGCAATTCGAGAGGCTCATTTCAGAAACCGAACACAGAGAATTTTCCCCTCCACAAATCCCAGGAGTCCATCTGAAGGATCTATGCAGCATTCCTTGAAATGCATGCTGTCAGGCCCCTGGGGCAGTTGGCACAGTGACTGACTTATTGCCAGCTCATCTGTGTCAACGTACAGGCTTTCCTGAATCCCAAGACAGACCTGTTTTCTGCAGTAACAAGCATTTGGAGAAATTCCATGGAGGAGAGCTGGTCCTTTGCCTCTAGAGGGGAGAATCAGTGATGCAACTCCCCGGGCACTGACCGTTGCTGACCTGAACAGTTGTCTGTACTGGAAATGTTTATTCTTTCTACTGCCAGACAAAGCATCCAGGAATCAAACTACTGGGTTTGAGGAGATCTAGATGAGTGCAAGCATGGCATTGCAGAGAAAGAGCTCATCTATTTCTGGGTTACAATCAGTAATAAGGGTTCCTATGAGCACATGCACATAATTAATGTGCCTATGGGATGCCGATTTAGGGATATTCAGCTAAATGAAACTGAAGATTTGTTAAGTCTCCCCACCATGATAATGGAAAACAAACAAACACAAAAACAAAACCCCAAACAAACAGCAAACAAGCAAGTAAAACAAAAATAGCCCAGTTTAGGTTTCTGAAGAGATTTGTATTTTCAAGGCCACCCAGCCAAAGATCTCAACATAAACTTTAGTTGTTCTCTTTTAAATGCCTCTAAATGATGCTGAGAGTGTTTAACTTATTTCAAAGATGCTAATTCGAGCCTCAGACAGCTGCAGTGGTTATTAATATGAGCACAATGGCTGACGATTTGACACAGCCTCTAGTTTCCATTACTGCCTTCGCACTAAATGTCCCTTTTGTGCACAGGGCATAAAAACCACAGTCAGATGACTGACTTGGGAGATGTGCCTGTCGACTGCTCAGCATCTGAGTACTTTTGTTTAAAAGGGAGAGTTACATAGTTTTAATGAGGAAAATGGAAAATTCCATACTAGACTATAAATCTTTACATATTATCAATATTTCCACAGTACAGTGAAAACTCAAGAGGATGAAACCTAATATAAAATTAGTGAGGAGTGATGGGTTCTTAATGCATATTTACTCTAGATAAATCAATATATAAAAGCATCATGGGATATTGACCTAGGATTAGAACAAATAAGCAATTATTCATGATTCAACGGAAGTATAATTTAGAGGTGAACATATTCAGTCAAATTGTTTTTTAACCTGCTTATCTCTGTAATTTTCCATAAAGGAATGCTATATGAATGGTAAACATAAACAAAAAAAACCAACAAGAAAACCTTAAAAATCAACTAGAAAGTTTCTGAGTACATGCTCTTTCCTGAGTCTGTGATGGACTCACTGTGTCTGGTTCCTTCTTTCTTTCTTTCTTTCTTTCTTTCTTTCTTTCTTTCTTTCTTTCTTTCTTTCTTTCTTTCTTCCTTCCTTCCTTCCTTCCTTTCTTTCTTTCTTTCTTCCTCTCCTTTCTTTCTGTATTATTTTTTAGAGAGTGCCATCTTGAGCTTTGTTTTATAAAAGCACAAAGGGTAAAGTCATCTAGGGGCATTTTTGCGTGTCTTGTGGACCCTCTGAATGTTATTGGGTTGTAGTAGTGCTTAACTAAAAGTAAGCAATCAAATGCTAAAATTCTTCTGACCTGGGTTTTCCTCTGTCTTGTATACATCCACAACTAAAGTCAAGAATGTGAATGATGAGCCACAGAACATACTTTACTCAAGCTTAGATCTAAGCTCCAAGTGCTTTCTCGAGGATGCGCTCTGAAAGACCAACGACCAGGCCTGTGGTTTTCGCTCCAATTTTTATACTTGGCATGGGGTCAGTTACATGGATGGATAAATAAGTGGTCTCTTATAGCATTTGCTAATATGTAGTGTAGGTATATTCTTGTCTCCTCAATTTGCAGATAGAAAAATTTAAGCATTTGCCCAGTGTTATCTAGCTAGGGATGGACATTTAGTATTCTTGCCTGTTTAGTCCAAAATCTAGACTCTTTGCAAGTCCAATTGGCATCACACTCTTTTAAATCTCACAAGATGAAGGACTGACAGCCATAGTGAGGGTCCTTTTTCCTGCTGTCATGTTCTTAGAAATTGCAGCTTTTTTGCCTGATTTTATGTGAGCAGAAGCTTTCTGTCACAGTTCTGTAGACTTGAGGGGATGTTGAAGTGGGTATACCTGGATTTAAACTCAACTCTGCAACTTGGCTCAGTGACCTGGTATGAGTTATACAGCTTTAGGTGCCTGGGTTTATTAAAAGAGACCAGCTGGATAAAGCACGTGTAATTCTCGAATCACTTAATCCATTTTAGCTACTGGCAATTATATTATCTTAATATTGCCCTTTTTAATACTACAATATGGACAAGGGCTTAGATCCTTCAACTTGCTAGAGAACCACACATCATAGTCCCACTTGCCAAATCCAACCCACCACCCATTTTAAATTCGTGCTTATTGGAGCACATCCACGCTTGCATATGCATGGATTTATAGCTCCCCATGTGCTACCATGGGAGAACTACAGAGCTATCATTGCTAGTCTGTCATCCTGCGTTCATGCAATCTAGGGAGAAAGAACTTGTGTCCTCACAGGCTGGAGCACGGGGATCTTGGCTGACTGCCATGAACGTATTGCCTCATGATGCGTCCACAGATGACACAGGATTCTGGATGGAGCAGGTTCTGTGGGGTGTATGCTGTTCCTCCTACCATTTAAATGCTCACTCCAGGCCCTGACTGCTTTTAATACTCCAATGGGAGTGTTTTGCTACCTTCAAATAGCTTATGAAAAGAATTTAAACAGAATGATGCAAAGACTAGTTAAGACAGAAAGGTAACGCAGATCTGTCTGGTCAATGCTGTGCTAACCTGCACTCCAGACCCCGTATCTACCTTCTCATTGTCTCTTCTACAGGGATGCAGCTGAGACCACAGGCGAGCAATCTCACTTAGGAAGCAGACCTGCAGAGCATTTTGCTAGACTGGCATGTGTGGCACTCTCATGGCATTTTTTGGATAGACGAAGCCATCACTGAACTGTAGTGCTGGAAGCCTGGCCAAATGTGGCTGTAACCAGGTGGAAACTATAAACAGGCACACCTGTTTTGTATTGTTTTTTTCAGAGAAATAACAGTGTATATCCATTGTGTCCCTGACACAGATGAGGTGTGTGTTTCTACCACCATAATGAATTCTCACATACTATGAAATGCAAATAGTCTTATTCTCATCAGGATCTATTTTTCTCCTCCAATGTCTTTTTTGTGCATTATTCTAGTGACCGATTGTATCTTCCTACAGGATACTCTCCAGGGAGGTAAGATGTAGCCTGTCTCTTTTCATTTGCTTCTCCTGCCCCCTTGTGAGTCAGTGGACAGGCATCTATGATATAGGATCTTCAATGTAGCAAATGATAAAGCAACAGTCATCTTTATTCAGCATTGGTGCATGACACCCGTAAGTCACAGTGTGAACAACTAGGTTGTGTTAGGAAACGGGACAGATCAGCCTCTCCTA